CCAGCCTGGGGTCCTGGAGATCCCTGGAGCGGGTGCTCAGGAGCAGGCCGACAAACTGGCAAAGAAACAGCTGCCTGGATCTTTGCTGTTGCTCACCTGCAACCAGTGCCTCAAAGTGATGGTTTCACATGGCTTGACATGGCTTAAGAAGATGTGCCGTATTGTGCACTGGCGCAAGATGTGAAAAGTATTGGAACCACCAGGGTTATGTGAAAAGAATTACGCATATCCACCGCATGAGGTGTTCGAAGTGTTAGCAGTCCTGATGTTTCATGAAAGTTTCCCTCCCAAGCTCACCCCAAGCATGTCAGTTGTCTCAGACTGTCCCCGGCCTGAGGTTCCGACGGCATGTCAACAACCGGCTCTTTGACCAAGTGAAGAACCAGGCGGAACTGTCGGGAGTCGTTCAGGGCACCTTCATAATATGTCATGATCCCTCAAAGTAGACGTGTGTGAAACGTCAATACAAACGAGGTCATCATGAATGGAGTTGCATCGTACAGCAGCATCCCTCAGCTTGGCTCTAGGTGGACGCCATGAGATCCAGAATGGTAAGGAGAGTTGAGTGAAGAGCTGAGCCAACCAATGGACGCCTTGTTTTTCTGCCAGTCTTGCGTTTTTGCGCTCCTGAATAGAAGGTCTCTGATTTGGTGAGTTTTGAGCTGACTGCTGTTTGATTTGTTTGCCTTTCTCTCTACATGTAATATGCATGCAGTTTCGCAGCATAGGTGCGTTTGAATCCTGTTGATCATTTTGATCCTTTTTGGATTCTTTTGATCCCTTTGGAATGGTGACAGATTTTATCAGGCCGCCTGTGTGGTCATGAGCCTCTCCCCAAGCTTTTGAGGTGGCGAGTGGAACAGGCAAGTCTTCTTCGGCGGATACCTCAGCTAGTCTGGATCAGCTCTAGTACACTATGAATTGAGACCAGGTGAGTGAAAATTATGAAACTTGAACACCAGCCTTGAGAACGGACTTTCATGTCTTGGCCGCCTCATTTGACTTCAAACAAGAGTATGTGATGAAGCTGTGTCGGAAGGCTGCAATCTGATGATACTTTTCCGCAGTCCATGTTTTTCTTGTTCCCATTTGAGAGCAACGGTTGCGTGTGTGTGTGTGAGTGAGAGAGAGAGTATTTACCCTGAGGAAATGCTTTCCACCTGGTGAGTCTATTTGCTGCTTGGTGGAATCCATCAACATTCCGTCCCTGCAGAGCAAGTTTGTCTTTTCGTGGTGCCTGTCAATGAATGATGATTACTCTCACTTCAAAAATCCCAAGCTATCCAAAAGAACAAGACCAACTTTCATACTCTCCTTTGCTACCCGACGATTTTGAACGTCTCTCAAATCTGCTTAGTTTATTTGCCACTTGAACAGTGTACTTTTGTGGACTGGGTGAAAAACCCTGAGGCAGTGCTTCCTTCAATGCAGCTGGCATTGAGGGTCTGGACTCAAAGCAGATGTGTTGCTACTAGTAGAACAAATGCGTTCCTACATAGTATCTTTTTGCATACGTGCTGTGAAGAAAGGGAAGCAGCAGGCCAAGTTGGGTCACGAAACAACATGAAACAACCAAGTGATTGCACAGCGGCTTGACAATTTCGCAGCTATCCATTTGTTTGTAAACTGATTGTTGCATGTTGTTGTACTCTGGTGGGTACTCCGTGGCAAGCAAGTTAGAAGAAGCTGAGGCATGCAGTTGATTTTCTATCCTTGCGGCTATCACGGTGCGACTGACGGATTTTGTTCGCTCTATGCCCAGAGCAGTGGTGCTGGAAGGGGCGGTTCAGGGTCTGGGCTTGAGCGATTCACCTTCAGCTGTAGCAACTGCATGAACAATCCCCGCAAATCGTTTGTTCGTGTCCAAGATTGAAAGCCCTGCTACAGGCTTTGTGTTGAAACTATTTGACCGAGGTTGTATTTGTATGCACCTGCCGGTGCCACGCTTCGGTGTAATTTGTTTGTCCTTGGCTCAGCCTGTGCTTTTTCTTTTGAGAAGACGGTAGAGGGGCGACTTGGCGTAGATTTAAATGGTAATTAGTTGCAAACAAGTATTATAATTTATCAATATTTCTCATATAGATAGTGGTATGTTGTGGTCGTTATTTGGGTAAATTGCAAGAACGGCTTGCACTGAGATTGGCGACCAGAAGCGAGACGCCAATCACAGCTTTGAGGCTCAGAGTTCACAGCGATGTCAGCACTGACCCAGGTTTGGTTTAGGGCCTAGGGATGATGTGACAGGTGACCTTCCCAATTTGAGGCAAGTGAGGTGAAACATGGTGAAAATCAAGAGCTGTTTGTGAGTTTGAAAAATATCGCTAGGTGCAAGCCCGGTAGCACCTCTCAGAACTACTGTCCCCGAGAGCTACACAGCTACACCAGGAATATTCATCACGAACTGATGCTGGACGTTGATCAGGTTGACTTATAAGATCTTATGAACATTTATGATCATTTATGATACATTTATAAACATCAATCCTTAAACTCGCCAACAAATCAATCTGTAAACCTGCATTCTTTCCAATTCGTCATGACGAATTTGCCAGGAGTCATGAGTCATGTTACTGTACTACTTGCGCAGCCCACCTCAGATCCAAAAAGATTTGCTGAGCAGGTGGCAGGAGCATTTGGTCGAACCAATTTTTGCCGCTTTGAAGCCGGTTTGGAGCAGGCGTCAGCCCAAAATGGATCGATTGATCGGAGAAGTGGACACTGTCTCGGGCACAAGTCGCACGAGTGAAAGGTTGCCATGGGTTGTTTGATTTTCTCCTGCAATATGTAACAAGAGTTAAAAAGGTATTGAGAATCTGGAATCTGGACTCACCTGTTTTGATTGGAGTTTTCCTTGTCGCTGGTTTTGACCAGAATTATGTTCATGACTTTCCATGAGTGTACATGATTATCCATGACTGTCCAGTTTATAATGTAAATATATAATATATAATATTTCATAGATATAGAATGATTTAAATATCATAATGTCCCCCAGTTTTCAGTAACATCTCCCCTGAGGCGACTGATACAATTGTGGTAGCTCTGGAAGTAGATGAGGCGCACCAGGAGATGCAGCCAACAAAAAGTGTCGGATGTGCCTATTGAACTATTGGGTGATGGGCATCATTTCATTCATATAGGGAATTTATACATGCCAACAATATATCATATCCAATTCATTCCAATTATCATATTATTATATACAATAATACGGATTCCCATTATGGGATGGATGACCATACCCCCATATACCTTGTCTCGACCATGGCACACATGGTTTTTTTAAGATTGTTTTGAAGTTGACGTCAAAACCTTAAACACTACGTAATAATGTAGGGCTTAAGACAGGTGTTTTTGAAATTTATATAGGGGACATGACCCGGGGTTGCATCCTGTGGAATGTTTCAATCGCCCTTGCTGAGCGTAGTATCTTATCGTGGTAGGACATGATCGCCACTGTGGCACATCCCAAAGCAGTGCCTGGAGACACTAGATCCATCGTTTGTGCCTCAGTCATCTCAGTATACTGTTCTGGTGACCAGTCAGACCAGTTGCAGAAATGTCTCTCGATCTTTTGTTTAGAAGATTTTAGAAGTAGACTCAGTAGACGTCCAGATACTGAGCTTAAAAGATTTGAGACCCAAGCTGGGCTACCGGAAGTTGGCAGTTGGACTGGCCATCCACAAAGCAAGTAGTCTATATTAGATATATTAGTCTCATTATATTCTTATTATGTCTTTCTATGTTTTATTGTTCCCCAGCACTTCTCATGGGCTGATCAAACCCACAGCGACCGAGGCGCAGATGGATGGCTCAGTGTCCGGACCCATCGAAAGTACAGCGCGGGGACTTGCCGGATCTGCCGGATTTGGGGGGACCGTTAGGTCACTTTTCAGTGGTCAGGACATGTCGATGCTGGTTTTGGTATGACATGGTGAACCAACTCGAATTCCAAAAACTGGTTTATTTTACGGCATTGAAGGTAGGGTGATGTGATGCAGGTTGAAATTGGCCCACAGCCCCTTGCACAAAGTGCAAGGTGTGGACATGTATGGAAAAGGGTGTTTTGATGTGTTTTGCTATTAAAAGTGCAAAGGCTGATGCTGATTTCAGGGAACCTCGTTTGGAGCTCTGGAGTGGTGCTGAATATTTCTGCAAACCCTACACTTTATCTCCACCTAGGTCAAGTTGCAACAGGCCTCAGGAAATCTGAAGAAAAGCTTCTTGGTTGCATGATACTGATTGAATCTGATTGATATTGCGTGTTTTGGACATGGACATCAGCATCATCAGCCAAAGTTCGATTGTTCACTTGATTCACTTGAGCGGATCAGTGCCAAGGTCCATTAGAGGACTGCAGGGATGTTGCTGCCATTCGTTTGGGAAACGGTCTGAAGACTGTTTAGATATGTCTATATATATATATATATTAATTTATTATATATTATATATTATATATTATATATATATGTGTTTATGATTGTTTATGTGTATAGATATGTCTAGATTATGTTTCTGTAGATTAAGATTCGGATTAAATCTGATTCATCCCAGGATTCGGGATTGTCAGCCCTGTCAGTTTGAGTCTTGGGCTGTGATGGTGAGCCACTGCTGCACTTGGTAGCCGGAGCAAATTTGTGCGACACTAAGAGGAAACACAGTGTCCATAAAAGGAACCATTTTTCTAAACATGTGTTCAAGTATGGTCGTACATGATCGTGCATTTACAGACAGACCAATCACTGAGTCAAGTCTGATTTCTTTTGGGGTGAAGACTCAAGAACTGACCTTGAAGGAACGTCGTGTGTTGCCGTCTCTTTGGACTGCAAAGCCGACCACTCAGACATACAGCCAGGTCAGCCCATATTTTTGTTTTGGTGAGTCTTGGTCTATCTTGGTATTTTTAAATAATTATTGATGTTTGTAGCCTTCAAGTTTTGGGGAGTAGCATGCATCAAGCACGTTCCTCTTGCATTGCAAGAGGCTGACCTCAAGTCGTTTGGACACGATCCACCAATACAGGGTTCCCTTTGTGACATTGGACTGGATTTCAATTGACGGACTACTTCCCAGGTCGAAAGCATTGACCAAAGAAAGCATCAACAATGATTCGACAATGTTCTTTGGATGTCGGTTGCGCAATTCGCCGATGCCAAAGAAATCTCGGTATCCAATGCACTGCTTCCGGATCTTCCGATTCAAGGAATCCCTGCGTCGATGCGTTCAGGTCCATGGCAGACAACAGCAAGAAAGAGGACAAATTCCACTCCTTTGATGAGTCGGGGACTTCAGAAAAGTTTTAGTTTTACTGTACTGCTAGTGATTCTACTCATTCTATCTCATTCTAGTGCTTCGAGAGGATTCTGAAATCTGGCTGAGACATGCTGAGACGAAGAAGTAATTTCTGCGTATGACTATAAATTATCGAAGGAAGTTTAGAAGTGAAACTTCCGACAATATGGACAGTTGAAAAGCAGAGGTGAGAAGAGTCAGAAGAGACAAGATCAGAAGAAAGAATAGGTAGATGCGCGAAAAGATAGGAAAGTCGCGATTCACTGTGTTTTTCCAATGATTTGTGGCTCCGGAGGGTCGAAAAGTAGGCTCGCTAAAGCGGCGGGTGCGGAGCCAGCTGGCCAGATGAGACATGAAAAAGTGCACGCCGTTGTGGCGCGAAGCACATTTCCAAGTCAAAATGGACAAAACACTAGAGGAGCGGACCACTTTTGGAAGTTGAGATGTCGAAAAAGTGCACGCCGTTGTGGCGCGAAGCACATTTTGAAGTCAAAATGCACAAAACACCGCAACCTCGGACCACTTTTGGAAGTTGAGATGTCGAAAAAGTGCACGCCGTTGTGGCGCGAAGCACATTTTGAAATCAAAATGCACAAAGCACCGCAACCTCGGACCACTTTTGGAAGTTGCGATGTTGAAAAAGTGCACGCCGTTGTGGCGCGAAGCACATTTCCAAGTCAAAATGTTAAAAACACTAGGGGTTCGGACCACTTTTGGAGGTTCAGATGTCGAAAAAGTGTCGAAAAAGGCACGCCGTTGTGGCGCGAAGCACATTTCGAAGTCAAAAGTGTAAAAAACTGAGGGTTTTGAGCCTTTTTTGACGTGAAGATGTCGAAAAAGTAGACACTGATTAACTTAACTAACTTGACTAACTTAACAACTTCACTAACTTAACTACCCTAACTTCGACGACACAAGACAACAGCAACAGAACAACAACCACAACACACACGACGACAACAACAACACCAACCACAACAACAACAACTACAACTAACAACAACAACACTACACAACAACAACCAACTACAACTAGAACTACACTACAACAGCTACAACAACAACAACAACAACAACAGCAACAAACAAACAGCAACAGCAACAACAACAACAACTACTACAACTACAACTACAACTACAACTAACAACTACAAACTACACAACAACTACAACTAGAACACAACTACAAACAACGACAACAACAACTACACTACAACTACAACTACAACGACACAACAACTACAACTACAACAACACAACACCAACTACTACTACAACACAACTACACTACACAACAACTACAACCACACAACAACTACAACTACAACAACTACAAGTACAACTACAAAACAACTACAGCTACAACTATATGACTGCAACTACACTACACTAATTACATTACACCACAACTACAACTCCACTACGCTACAACTACAACTACAGTTGCAGTACATCACACTACATCCACTAATCCAGCAGTTGTGGGTGAGGTGACCACTGCAACCATTGCAACCATTCCAGCAAACACAACTCCAACCACCTTTCGGTCAATCAGTGGCTTCGCTCTGCCATCCCTGATTCACAACAACCAACTTCTCCTATAGGTTTCCTATTTTTGAAACTTCCGCCACCGCCTTGTGCGGCACTACTGGTAAAGGAAGTCAAAGGGATAGTTGAGAGTTGAGACATTGACAACCATTGGATGAACCGTAGAGCTTTGACAGCCAACTCTTAGACAGTCAGCCTCTTCCCCCATTCCTATGAGATTCTATACCTGCGAGAGCGGCATTCATGTGGATGTTTGATGATGTTTGCAGACGCAAAGAGCAGTTGCCAAATTGAGAAACCCTCAAAATCAATCAAAAGTACGTACTGTATCTCTGTGTGTGTATACATTCTAGAGTACATAGACGATTATATTATTACTGCGTTAAAACATATATTCCATTAACACGATGTGTTACAGCATTATATCATATTATATCACTCCCTGATATCAACTACTCCAAGGCTCAAGACTCAGACCCGAGGTGCTGTTTTTTGTTGGGGTGGGCTGATGTGCACTGTGTGGAGTTGTCAGTTTGGTACCTCCACTTCCAATGGAGGATTCTCGTTTTTCCATGTTTATCGCATAAAGATTTCCCTTGGGGGGTATACCCCGTATTCAGACAAACCCAAATGATGAAGTTTGGACGAGATTTGAATTGGATGAATGGACACAAGGTTTTGGACTAATTATTATAGAGGCCGATTGATTGAATCACACACATCCCAGCACCATTCGAGACAGCCTTAGTTGCTACAGGCTCAAGTCATAGACACTGATGGATCATAAATCATGAAGACCAAAAGAATCATCCTGCATGAAATGGCATGAAATGACTCAACTTAGATACTCCTCCGGATTTGTTTGCCGCGTCGAAGTCTGTGAGGACCAAGCCCAACACGTCGAGTTCGGGACGGCTCAACATCACAGCTTAGTCGCTGAACCAAGGATTTGCAGCGGAAGAACAGTGGGCTTCGCTGTGTGTGTAGCTTTGAAGCCTTGCAACCCCCCTTGTGGCCAAAGGTTGGCATGAAGTGAAGAGAAGTGCAAGTCAAAGAGTGGGCAAAGCATACCAAAGCCCTGTAGATTTTTAAGCTTTAGTTGACTTGATTCACAGCACCTTTTCTGCCTGCTTCAATCAAGTTTTGTCTTTGTCATTTCAGTCAAAGTCTAGGGTTCATTGACTCAGGTCCAATGAACATGAGCGACTTCAAGGCACCATTCTCCCAGCAGCAGGATGTTTGGCATTAGATACACAAAGGGGGTCGTGGACGACTTCGGCGATGTGTAAAGGAAAAAATAAGTAAAGAATGGATAAGAATGGTGGATGATGGTATAAACGATAGTGGTTTATTGCAACATTCATATATAATATACTGTATCATTATATATCATTATTATATATACTATTATATTATTGCGTATTACCATATATTGATATTGCTTTACATTATGTAATTCATGTTACAATTCATGTTTGTACTACTTCTGGAGGCATCACAGAGTGATGACCTCACCGGTGAGTCCGGAAGCTCAGTTCAGGTTTCACCCAAAATTCTGCAAGTTGACATTTCTTGACCTTTTTCTTTTCGGTCAAAGGATGGTGTGCCATTCACGACGGGTCGACAGCGACAGTAAGGCTTCAGCCTCCGCTTCCCAAGCTGAAATCCAGCGTCTCGGAAAAGACGACCATCTCGGACTTCCGCCAGAGCACTCAACGACAGCTGTAGGGAAGTGGGATGGACTGAGCCTGACTGAGTGCTAGTGTTTGTCAGTATTTAGTATTTGTGTATTTGTTAGTTGTTTGTGAGTTGTGATTCAATAATCTAATTTTGCCACATGTTTCAACCAATTTGAAGAATTTGAAGCCCAACAGGTGGAGCTAGCGAGTGGAGTGTCAGCACTCGTGGCTCGCGTTCACGTCGCTCCCTACCCAAGAGAAGCTTGGTAGCAAGAGAGTGCTTTGACAAATAGTTGTGCGTTTTATTTCTTAGGAATTCCAAGCATGTCTTGTATTTGTGGAAATTATTATACATATGTCTTGAATCACAAAAGTCTTTGCTACTACCGTCCGTTGGTAGTGCAGTGATGCAGCGGCTGCTGAAATCGCCCAGGCAACAGTCAAGTGGTTGTGTCACCGATGTCAAGCCCAGATATTTAGGCAAGCCACTTGGCTGCATGGCAACCTCCCAGAACCGAGAAGCCTACCATTGTTCCAATCCTTGCATACTTAGGGGGATCTTGTGGCCATAGTCCTGTATAGACTAGAATTGCAGTGTTTTCAACCCTGGGCAGTGGATTGGCAATGGTAAGATGCCCAAGCTCAGAGTGCCGCTAAGCGATTAGGAGCGGCCGTTGTCTGAGTCGGGCTGGCAGTTGATTTTTGGGAAGGGGATGCGGCCTTGCCGAGCAAAAACCAAACTAGGATTCCCGTTCAGAGACACTCCAGTTCATACTGACAGTGCAGGAAAGACATGATTTGTTTGTAAGGATTTTGCTTGACTTATTTTGGCCCTGAGATTCATGTAAATGATTTTGGCGGCCATGATCATTGTCTCACGCAATGCATTGGTGACATCCGCGAATGCGGGCAACACCAATGTGATTAGCAGGGGGACAAAACAAGCGAAACAAGCAAGCGGCGGGGGTGATGTCATGGATGAATGTTTGGCCGCTTGGCATGCCATGCGCAGGAAGTTAGTTCCGGGTCTAAAGCGATGGGGCTCTCAAGCTTCATGTCCCAATATGCGCAATATTATTTCCCTTAGTGGTGCTTTGGGAATGCTGCACCTCCTTGATGTCCCGGACCGTGGTAGCTTGTTGGATTGTACTTGGCCTATCGTGGCCTCCTGCTTCATCATGATTTGCTGCGCTGCCGTTTAGCTAATGTAATTCAGATATATTCAGACCAAATCATGACAAAGCACGAACAATGAGTCGCTTAATTGTCGTATGGACCAAGAGGTGCTACCCCAGCGAGAACATGATCATAAACTATACTCATAAATGAAATCATAACCTCGGCTCTTGCTCACGACTGCTGGTTAGAACTCCGTCCAAATGCAACACCCAGCAAACCGTAGCAAGGCTTGCAAAAAACAACATCTTGTAAGGGGCTACGCAAGTTCCAGCCACCATGATGCAAAGTTGAAGCTGTTTCCAATTTGCCCTCCCGTTCCGGGCTTCGTTTGCTGATGGCTTGGCGACTTGAGCAGTTCTCCATCACGTGATGGAGGCGGGCTTCTGGTAGGCTGCATGCGCCAGTCAGTCATCGCAGGTTTTTCTTGGATTTTGTTTGACATCGTTTAAGACTAGTTTAAGAGACATGGAAAGATTGGAAAGCCGGTTCAACAATTCTTTTGATGCTGCTTGCTTCTTATTCGAGCATATTCTGGAAGACTCTCCAGTGCCAACCTGGCACCTGAAAATTGCTATTTGGAGGTTCATCTATATATAGATGGATACGGATCATGTTCATTTGCCATTACCATCTTTGATTATAAATTATATACAGTATTACAACATCATATTACAACTGGAGGATCTATTTACATACAGTCAGGGCATTAAGTCGTATCGATTTTGGTGTTTTCAGTCAATCAGTTGCGGTGGAGCTTCCGGGGGGGTCGCATCAATTTTCGTTCTGTCTTGCAGAATTGGGTATAAAAATGATTCAAAATGGTACTTCCTTTTTTTTGGTGGTTATTCCTTGCGGAACCTGTTGTCATGAATTGTTGAGAGATGACTTTTCCCCATAGGAATTATGTTGGTCCCAAAAAGTTGATGTGGCTAAAGGCCTTCACTGTATGTTTTTATGTTCGATTATATATGGGTACCCATATCAATGTTTATATATATATATATCACATCAGGATATAGTTTGTAATGATATATATCAATGTTTGTACCAATATGTTTATATATCAATAGTATGATACTATTTACACAGCAATATATCACAGGCCATGCGAAAATGGCTCCGGCAGCAGCTGCTGGACGCAGATGAGGAGAGCCGGACCTGGCGGCTCCGCGCCATTCAGGCGATGGATATTTTTTTTGTACCCAAAATCTGAATGGAAACCCATGGTTAGTATTGATAATATGGATGATAATATGGATGATAATATGGATGATAATATGGATGATAATATGGATGATAATATGGATGATAATATGGATGATAATATGGATGATATTGGGTAACCATTAACATGATATGGATGATATTGATGAAAATAGACTTTGTTAGTATTGAAACCCATGGTGACTTGGGTAATTAGTTTGGGCACCCCTCCATTTCAGGAGATTAACAGGGGGGTGATATTTTAGGATGTTCATCCATGTATGTCAAATTTAGTTGCGATATACTAAATTAGCAGATGGATATGATTGTCTCAAAAGCCCTCCAAACTCTCACAAAACAGGGCCTTTTCGCAATGACACTCACGGCTCTTCATAATCCAGCGATCCTCCATCAACCTTGGCCACATGTATCATCAACGGATGGATAAAAGTGTTGCCAGCTGTGCGCAAGTGTTCCTTGCATTTCATCCCAATACAAATGATGCTTGTAAATGAGCATCTGAGCGGGTGTGATGCCACTACACCAACGTTTGAGCAGAAAGCCTGAAAAAGCCACCTGGCAAAGACGACGGGGAAACAAAAGGAAGGAAAGGGAAACGAGGCCTGGCAGAAAGAAACAGAAGAGAAGGCCAAGGAAAGAAAAAAGTAGGTAAAACAACATTGTTTTTTGCCGCCTTTATCTGCCTTTATCCGCCTCTATTTTTCTTCGTTTTTTTTTCTGTTTGTTTGTTTTCTTACGTTGCTTGTGTTCGCTTCTTTTTCTCATTTTTATTTACCTGTTCATTTTTCAGATGCGAAGATATATATATATATATATATACTGTAACTGAAAAGATAGGGAAAGGAGGCAAAGGGGAACCAGCAAAAATGCAAAGGGAAAAAACAAAAATGAGCAAGGAAAGGAAATGGAGAAAGAAGTCAAGAAGGGAAATTAGAAGGAAGGGCAACAAAAACAATGAACAGGGAAAGAGTTTGTTGTTTGCCTCGCCTCCCAAGTCATTCAAAATGTTGCTGTTTATCCTTCAACGATATGCTGCTAGAACTGCTAGAACTGAAAAAGACGTTTGCATGCAATCGACACCACAGCTCTTCACTATAAACCCTAAATAAACATACCGACATGGAACAGTCCAGGATTCCTGCACTCTATCCAGTACAGCCTGATCTAACAAAACAAAAAATTGAATCAATGTTGACCATATTGGTTAATTACGGTAATATTTTGAACTGAATCATTTTTGCCCCTTCATCCAAAATTTGATTGGAGTATAAAGATGGGGCCTGCTGATTACTCATGATGGATGTCTTGGTTCCAACAGAAGGATCTTGAACTGAGAAAGATGATTGCCTCATGACCGGCATCCCTTGTGCTGTGGTAGCCAACAGCTTTGACTGCGAGGCCGAGGCAGAGTTACGGGCTTTACAGGCGAGGGTCAAAGAAGGCACTTGATTTTCCTTGAACCTCGGTGATGCAAAGTCATCACTGGCAGGTCGATGTGCCTGGATCCCCAAAGATGGAGAGCCTAGACTCTGAAAGCGGTGATACTGGTGGTGCAGGCTCAGAACAGGCACCGGTTGTTACGGAAGCAGCTGGAGATGAATGTGGTTCTGACAGTGCATTCTACGGAAATGAGATGTATTTCACAGCATTGCATATCATCTTACTCGTACTTTGGTTGTTCCCTTTTTGGGGGGAAGAAAATGAGAAATTACAGCGGGCCACATGCCATTCTGTATGCCATTCTGCGCATTTGGAATATGTGTACTATCACGTGTATAATGTACATGCATACTTGTTTTTGCTTAAACTTTATACTAGTATATACATCACAGATTTCGCCTTCGGCAAATGCTGGATAGCAGCATTGCATAGCTAACCTGTGGGACCTAGCGAGTGGCACCACTGGCACCGCTGCTTCAACAGGCTGCCAGTTTGAACAAGCCCCAAGACTTGCAGGCGCAGTTGTTCAGCAACATGAGGTGTGGCAGTTTGGCTAGACAGTTGTAAGGTAATGGATGGTAATGGATTATCAGGAAATATTGACACAATGAGTTGGTGGCTCTTTGAAGAGGTCAGAAATATTCAGAAATGACATGTTTGTTGATGAAAAGAAATGTGAATCAAGTCTAAAGCCCTACATATAGATACAATATGATACAATTATAATAATTATAATTATATATATAATATGTGTATATTATATCGGAGAAAGCAAAACATGTCCAGACGGCAAGACCAATCCACAGTCAGGAATACCTTTTGAGACAAGTACCTCACAAGAAATGCACGATTCTTTCCTTCTCTATTCCCATCTTCCCCACATTTTCAGGGAACAGCTTTTCTGCTGTGCTGGTGTCATGGCATCGCGGCCAGGTAGTCTTGAGTCAAGTCCTAGGTCTCGAAAAGCACCTGGAGGAGATCAATGTTTCAATTTTTGACTCGGAAGATCTGCCAGAAACGTTTCCGAAAGTTGCCACGTCGCTCTGATGTTTTGTCATGTTTTTCTTTGCTTTGGAATTATCAGGAGTGGGAACCTTGGCGAGCGAAGCTCCTAGAGGACTGCATGGACTTCCACCTGTTTAAGACTTGTCTGATTTTTAGCCGAATTGTTCAACAACGTTTTTCTTGATCCTCTGGGCATTCAAATATGTTTGTTGTAGATCCACATCCCGACGACCAACAGTTGCATTTGAGGAGACTCAGGTCGCCAAGGCAGAAGCTCAAAAACTTCAGGCAGTTACCAGTTGTCAATGTAGGGATCATCACGTGTTGAGGGTTTGCACGTGCATCCCAGTGGTGAAGCATGTTGAAGCATGGTGAAATATGCATCAACATGTATCAAGTTGTTTCAGTTTGTGTTCGGATCTTGCACCCATTTGCATGCTTTGTTACATAATCTGTGTTTTTCATCTTCTCTTTGTGTTACTTTGTCAGCCCTGGTGCAGCCAACGTTCCATCTCCGGTTGCTTCTGGTCTGAACAGGTCCTTTTGGATGCACAGAAGGCCGAGCTTCCGCGGGCTGAAAGAGAGGCGAAAGAAGCCAGTAGATTCCCAAGTTTGGGCAACAATGCATCCTGGGCATCCTTGCTTGAATTCGATTACTGTAGTTGCATTACTTGTGCTGTGAGCCTATTGATTTCGCAAGTGAAACGGATGCTTGCAGTTGCAGAACTTTTGATTCTGTGTCGCACGTGCAGTCATGCAATGAATTACCATGAAGTACTGCAAGCTCCCGATAGTCCGATAGTCCCTTACAACGACTGTAAATCCACACTGCAGTCCAAGGTCAAGAAGCCCAGATCCTACAAGAGGTACGGCGTGGTTTGAGGATGTTGCATGATGTTGAGTGTAT